GAAAGGTCTTGAAGTGGTACATTTCAAATTTTCGTTGACCAGTCGACCTGTGTGGGGTGTGTTGTGATGTTCAGGATGACTGACAGATTCATTGAGAATACAGAGATATGTGATATAAGGAACAAGCAACCGTTTAATTAGAAAGAGGGCAATGGCAAGAGACACACAGTTAACTAAGAGGAAACAAAAATATGTGCAATGAAAGAAAGAATGGCACCAGAAACCACACTGAATAACTACAGATACAAAATACAGACAACGGGGTAGGTTAATAAAATAGAGGATTGACTTGAAAATAAATGCAGAGAAAGAAACACTGTGCTTATACTGCAGAGCTTCTCGTGCAACTCAAATGCAAACTTGGCTAAATAAAATAGCAACAAAAAATAAAACACTTAAAAGACAGTGAAGCTGGTCGATTCTCAAGTTTTTAGAAGGTTTTTGCTAGGTTTTTGCAGATGTGACAGGCGTGCCCAAATTCCGTGCTCAGAAACTCTTGACGAAACCAGTTATCCGTTGAATCAGTACTCTGCTGGACCCTGCCATAGAAGCTCTCATCCACATGCAGGCCGGGCACGTACTCGCAAGGGTTTCTGTATGTATTCCCTTTGCCAAGCAGCACACCTTGGCTCTTCCGCTTAATGGCGAAACTTGGTAGCAGCCTCTTCGGCTTGATGTCTGAACATATTCCCACTTCGCGGCACGTTGTCATTCTTTATATGTGGCTTCTTCTTCCGAAGTTGATTTATTTACGTCTACCCATGGCGAAAGCAAAGATTCAGCACATGATGACGACATGGCTCCTGCTGGTACAATGTGGTGACAAGTCAGTGCGCAGGAACGGTCATGCTTAGTATCAAGGCAGGTGCGCACAGCTTCGTGAAGGTTGTGGGCGATGTGCAGATGGCCTGGTTGCCATGGCTATGCTAGGCGACATCATAGCGAGGCAATGTTTTTGATCGACAAGCACTGTTTTGTGGATAGCTCGAACAGCTCTGCTGTTAAAATTTCAATAAAAGGTTCCTCACAGACCATGCCAGCTTAAAAGAGTGTGAATACGAGCCAGTTGGTACGTATCTATAGTTAAAAATAGCGCGAAGTAGACGCGGACAAGAATTGACACAGGACCGCGCTGCCTGTGTGAATTCTTGTCCGTGTCTACTTCGCGCTGTTTTTAACCATGCCAGCCTACAGTACTCGTAGGCGAATCGACGTGGTGCTCGCCGCTCGACTCTCTTGCCAGCTTCTGTAGACGAGGATTCCCGACGGGACAGTCAACTCTATTCGTTGCACAGGACACTCCACACTCGCTGCCTACTTGTGACACCGATGACCACACTCTTCACTGGTTCAAAGACAACTGCCAAAGCAGCCAAAAATTCTTCCCTGGCTTGTGCATCTCTACCGTAGGTGCACTCCCCCAACACATTCCATTTGTTGCAGCTGTGAGAAAGTCCCAGAGGTGCCGATTACCCAAAGCCAGCCATGGGAAGTTTCTTTTCCAACAAGTCGCCCTTCCCTCGACGAAGGGTCCATCGCGGTGAAGCAGTGGTTATGGTGCTCGGCTGTTGACCCGAAGGTCGCGGGTTCGATCCCGACTGCAGCGGTCGCATTTTGATGGAGGCTAAATGGTAGAGGACAGTGCTGTGTGATGTCATTGCATGTTAAAGAATACCAGATGGTTGAAATTTCCGCAGCCCTCCTCTACGACGCCTCTCCTAATCATATCATGGTTTTGGGATGTAAAACCTCAGATATTATTATCCCTCGATGAAGGGGCGCACGCGCGAGCATCAGACGTTTATGGTGCAGCGTTAAATGTTGCTCTAAGTTCGCTGGCTTGCTTGCCTACTCTGCCTCTTGTTTTCCAGCGCTCCGCATGGCGTCTTGCATGCTGGAGTGCTTTTAGGCGGATTCGTTTTGCTTGTTGTGTAGTGCTTGCCTGGCCAGAGCAACCCTTTGTCGGAGATCCACGAATCTGAATGATCTGCACGAGGTAGATATATGTCGGCCGTAACCCACCATGAATAGGTCTTGTGTTGGCAAAGAGTGCTATATATGAGAGCTGAGAATATAACAAAACATGAGGGCAGTGCTTTTGTGCTATTCCGAGTCCTGCTTTTGCACCATTTACCGCAAGATGCAATACGAAGGTGTGACAAGTATGGTGAAACACTTGAAACAGAGGCTTATTATACTACATCTTGGGTTAGAATATTTATGAAGCTCTTTAGTTGAACAGCATGCACATTGAATGCATTGAACAGAAAACTAGATAATGTAGATGGAATGGCCGCCATTTAATGGATATTCATACCTCAAAGTCTGGGAACACCTCAACCTTCTTAATGTGCATAGTTGCTGTGCATCCCTTCTTCTTTGTGCTTTGGAGTTTCACTCTTTTTTTCTTGAACGTCTCTGCTGTCCAGTCCACATCAGGTTGGCCTCCATTGTCTGCCATCTGAGTGGAAGCCATGCAATGAGCATTAAAAAAATGCAAAAGCTATTCATTGTAGCGTTTTATTAGATGGCAGTAGGGAGCAACTTGTTTTTTATGCTTGAGGGTAAACATGATATAATGCAGTATAAAATGTTCCACTGTTCAATTAACTGAAGAAATTGTTTGCCAGCTTTTTTGCATACATTGGCTTTCTTGAAATACCAAACTAGTTTTTACTAGTTTCTCATAATCTGAACATGTGCAGGGGTGCAATAGCCAAAATAGAATTTGAAGCAGTTTTTGTAGCAGCAAAATGTTGCTTTTGGAGCACGAAAATCAAGATTCGGATTCAGAAGAGCTTGTGTAGGGGCTAGTTGCAACATAGTGGAAGATAAAGGCAGTGCCGCAAAGTTAGAGTGCCGACAGGAATGAGACACAAAAAGTGTATCTCTAACAATTGATTTAATGAAACAAAACACCAAAAAGGGGAGGGCAAAGACTTGAAATTCAAAAGAGGGCGCTGTGGGCAAACTGCGAATAAGCAAACATGAATGCTAAGAGTAAAAAAAAAAATTGCATTTATCTCTTGGAAATTAACATTTAAAAAATGCCTTATCAAAATCAAGGTGAAACATGTGCAGCATTTAAAATTATCTTTGTTTTCCTAGAAATGCCACTTGCCTGTCTGTAACTGCTGTGGACGGAAAGCTCATGCATGCGGTTAGCTTCTCCAGCAGCATACAAGATGTTTCTACAATTGTTCTTTTAATTTTGTCCTTGCTGTATACCAAAATAGTTGTCTCTGAAATTCGGGTTACACTTACAGGCAGAGCAGTGCTGAGCAAGATTTCCGTCGATTTAAATTCTACTGCATAAATTCTTGTGTTCCTGAAGCCTTTTGTTGAGGCACCTGCTCTTCTGTCCAATGTAGGGTGCCCGGCAGGACAGAGGGATTCTACAAACTTCTAACTTGCACTAAAAAAATTTCTTGACATGTTTGATGTTACATGTTGCACCTCTAGTGCCCTTCATTACTGCTCTGCATGTTACCTTTTCAATACACAACACTACCAATTTTTGGGGTGCTGGGAATATCACCTGCACATCGTACCAGGAAGACACTTTTTTTAATATATGTGCTATTGTGTGCATGTACGGTAACACAATAAAAGTGCCCACATGAAAGCACGCAACCCTTGGCAGCTGCAACAGGAGCCAGCTGTTCTGGCCGTCTTGGCGGCAAGGCACGTTGATGCAGACAGCACTACTGCATTGCCTTTGAGCAGTCTTGACCTGGTGTTTTGTCATTGAGTCTGCAGACAAGCCACCTGTCTAGGTGTGGATACAGGGCTTGACAAGCACCAAATGCCAGTGATATCAACAAGGGGTGGCGTCGCCAGTGCACGGACATGCTATAATGACATTTACGCCACATGAACTGCCTCCTGTTCACAGAGCACATACATAGTGTGTGCTTTGCTGGGGGATGTAGGGATGCTCTCGTTCCCTGATAGCGTTTACATGCCTTGTCAGCCAGCTCCCCCACAGTGGTGCTACCCGATAGTGAGGACACGTAGGGCCCAAAGGAATGAATGCCTCTTTTTTGTTCTTTGGAGCGCATTGCATGTCATAAGGAGCTCCACAGGCTCCTTTCCATTGACCCGAATACACCTCTATTTGTGATACATGACCCCAAACTGCATATGCTTGGCTTTCTTGCAGGGTTAAACTTTACTCGCTGCTTAACTGGGCATGGTGAGTCAAACATTGTCGATTCTACAGTGTGTTACACTGACATGCTATTATTTGTATAACTCCGCTAGCGGGCTTGCTGTGTAAAAGGTGCAAATAAATGCCTATTTCTTGGTTTGCACTGTGATGTACTGTGTCCTTTGTTCCTTAAGTGTGTGGAGATAGGTTTGCACGACGCTTAACCTACGAGGCGACCGGGCAGGGACGCGACGTTCTCCACTGCCGCAGCGAACAAAGACGCTGCAGCTGGGTTCGTCGACTCTCCAACACGACGCAGAAAAGGCACTCGAGGCAGGTTGTCAACAAACACGGGTTTATTAACCCAAGATGCAGCACAGTGCGACAATCATGGGTTTGCGGGCCGTCAGGGTAACTCCCAAGACCGATCATGTACGCTTGCCAGTGGCGCTACGACTATTACACAAAGGGGCAGCAGTCGAGTGCACGAACGAGAAGCCGCCTGCCAGAGCAGCGCGTCAACCTCTCGTGCGGGCCTGAGAGCATCTGACGCGGGCAAGCCCGCGCCAGACAGAAGCGAGCTCAGGGGGAAGGGGGTTGTCACTGGCGGCCAATGAGGACAGGCGTTGCACAGTGACGTAAGCTAGCGCGGTGGCTTGTCCAGACATGTTCGGACGTGTGCCGCGCGCCGGGAAGCCGACACATGGCTCGCACCAGACAAAGAGGCCTGGCGCCACCACCGTGGTCGCCATACTGCCGATTAGCAGCGGTTCCCGGCGCTCGAGCCGCGCGGGGCCAACACACACGCTAGCTGGGGAACGACGCGCCAAAGGGGACGGCGCGCTCGATTCCCACATTCCCCCCTCCTAAAGACCGAGGCCAGCCTGTGAAAGAGGCTGTCCGAGGCCAAGTGGCAAGGTCAGCTCAGCCGCAAGGGGACTGGCAAACGGGGCAAAGTCCAAAAGGGTGATGTCGTCTTCCCGAAGATACGAGTCCATAGGTCGGCCATGGTCACACTTAACGTCCCACCAAAAGTTCCACCACCAGGGAGAGCCCACTGCCGGGAGAAGGTCCACAGCCCAGGAGTAACGGGGAAGACTGCACAACAAGGGCGGGCAGCTAGCCTGCTTGAAGTTCGCCGGTCTGGAGAGGTTGGCAGCCGGGAACGTACGAGGCGTGGCTGCAAGTTGCGTGTGGCAGCCAACTGCCGAAAGTCGCTGGGATGGGGGCCTCACAGGAACGGCAGGCCGGAACAGCAGACAGCCAGGAACGGAAGCCGGAGCGACCACGCTCGGGCCTGGGCCAAAGCTTGAGTGGGCGAACCAGCCGCCGAGGCGACTTTAGAGGCTGTCAGGTGGATTAGGCAGGGTGGAGGTGGCTGCAGGGCCGAAGGCAGGAACGAGACCACAGCAGGGAGGACCAGGGGACAGCTGGTCAGGAACAGGCTGGTGGCAAGTGCCAAAGATCCCACACATTCAATAGTGATAAAATGATGTACATAAAAATATCTTTCAGCGAAATCACTGTGGTCGAAAGAAACTTTTAATGCTGGCTGAAATCACTTTTATAAGCATTCAACAGTAGTCTCATTTGTACACAACAATCTTAATTCATTTACTTACAGAGTCCTCTGATTGACCTTTGTGTGAGTGCTTGTCTTTTCCATACAGGCACCCTTTGTCAGTCAATGATAGTACTCTGAAGGGCAGCTGCAAGTTCAGAGGCACAGCTCCCCGGTTGATGGAGAACATAAGCTTCACTGCAGAAACATTGAACACAATTTTTTTTATTGCTTTACAAATTTTACTGTGTAGCATTCATTATAATATAATGCAAGGTGTTGTTAACATGCTTGATCAGCACAGACATAGTGCTTTGAATGCAGTCTGCTTCTATTTTAGCTCTGGCAATAAAGACGAATGCCCTACGAACTCGTAGGTTGTACCACCAAGGAACGTCATTAACTGTTGAGTGCACTATGTACAAGAGCACTAATAGTGGAACATTCAGACAGACTAATATCACAAAAATGCCATTTCTCAGTGAACAGTGAATTTAGCTCATTACTACATAGTACTGGGAACACTGCAGTAATTGCTACAGCTATGCTACAAGTAGAGAAACTGCTCCAAAACGTGGCCTTCAAGATTATGTATTACAGCGAAAATTGGCTTCATCCAACCCTAAAGTTGGGCCCTGCAACGCATTTCGGGCATAGTCAGAAAACGCTGCCAACTGGTAGTCGGTGCTCCCGAGAACATGTAAACCAAGCATTATAGTGCAGCACACGGCATGGAATTTACAATTCGTTCTCAAAGTCGGCTAGAAACCGCTCGTTCTTCTCTCGACAAATGATGCCACAAGCCCATATGACCATACAATAAACCCAAGGCCACAGCTACTGGCTGGTTTGAGCATCGAGCAGTCGCAGAAGCTGCCACAGGCAACGCGATATGCCCGTGCGCTTGCTCACTATCATACTGAAGGTAACCATGTGCTCGAAGAAAAGAAAGCGCTCACATGCGCATGACATAACTTCTTTTTCCTGTGCGAAATTCCCCTGCTTAGCTTCCAGCGTGCTTGTGGAGACGTAATAAGAGAGGAAGTGCCTACAGAGTGTGACAAACCTAACTCCACTCGTACTCAACAGATTCTAAACGCTTTTGTGGCAGTTGATTCGTGAGGCGTGCACCTCTAGCAGACGCTGCCTGCGTTGAACGGTTGTGCAGCGCGAGCGAGGAAGAGGGGGGGGAGATGCGAGGGAGGGGCCTGCTGCCGGCACGAGCCGAGCCGAGCGTGCGAGGGAGGGAGAGGAGAGGCTTGCTGCCGGCACGAGCCGAGCGTGCGCAGTGGGGGCGTGGACGGCGGCCGACGCCACAGGTGCGGCTAAGAAATGCTCCGCATTTAAAAGAAAGAAAGAAAAAACGGGACAAGATCGAGGTTCGAACGAAGGTCTTCCCAGTTCCGAACACGACACGTTAGCATGACGATAGATAGCCCGCTGCGCCACTAAAGCTGATCGGTTCGGTGGGTCTAACAGACTGCATTTGTGTTGTTGTCACGCTGGAGGCTGGACGTAACTTTAAGACTCGTTATTCTTACGTCCAGACGTAACTGGAACGGCTCCTATCGTTACGTCTGGAAGTAGCTCTTGCGTAAGGTGTAGTTACGTCCAGCCGTAACGATAATCAGCTGCTAAGGTTACGTCCACCGTCTGCTTCACAATGCACACTTGAGTTTAATAATTATCCAAGGCGATTTCCTTAAAAAAAAATATTACGGCGCCCGGGAAGAACTAAAAAAAAACGAAAAGAAAAAAAAGTGTAGCACAGCAGCGAGGTTCGAACCAACGTCCTCGCAGTTTCGAGCACGACGCATTACCCTCTGCGCCACTGGAGACGATCGGTTCAGCGAGCCTAACAGACTGCATTTGTGTTGTTGTCACGCTGGACGTAACTTTAATCTTACGTAAAGACGTAACTGCAACGGCTGCTGTCGTTACGTCTAGACGTAACGCTAGACACTCCCTTTTGTCTAATGGTGCACGCGCGTCAATCCCGGAGGTATAGTGAACTATGGGGTTCGCAAAGGAACGCAGATTTTATCCTTGAGAAGCGCGCAAGAAAACACAGGGACAAAGAAGAGATACACACCGGACAAGCGCTTTCTAACAACTAGTTTTATTGAAGAAAACTCAGACTTCTTATCCTAATAGAACTGCGTAAGGTACATGTACATATCACCGCGCTTAGTAATACTCGTGAAAATGGCTAAACAATCACAAAAAAAAGCAGAAATGCCCTTAGATTTTAATAATCAACGCTTATATACTTACGCTTTCCTGCCTTATGTAGGTTTTCTTCGGCATGTTTCCTGGAGGATGTCACCTTGAATGACACTCCTAGGCCGAGAAGGGCTCTTTCTAGGTGCTCCAGTTCTTGATCGGTCTTCACGTATCCACGCCAGTTGTGTTCGCCACTCTCAAAGTCCAGGAGATGCGATCGTACGATTGCTTCATCTGCCATAATCAAGCCGCCAACGAACTACGCAGCGTGGATGACGACCACGCGTAGTAGAGTAGAGTAGATCCTAGAAACTATAGGCACACAACCACGCTGGGGGATTCGCGAACCATGACAACAAAACAAGCCTTCCCTCTTTTTTTTTTTTTTTTATCACGTAACCTTAGCAACCTTAGAGTCGCTTAACAAGACGTAGTCACAATAAGACATAGCCAGTTGAAGCCGATCGCTTTAACCAATGACGTCATACGTGACGTTGCAACTAGGGTCACGTGACCCCGAGCTGTTGAGGTGCAAATAGACGCTCCCATTCGATACCATAATCTTGGCGTCAGCAGCGTGACCAGTTCTTTCAAAAGAGGCTTGTCTCGTTTTTCGAAGAGACAGACATGCCCTCGCAACTAGGTTGCCGTAAAAGGGAAAGGAACCATGGGCGCACATGCTTCCTCATAAATGGTAGATCATCGCAAGCGTTTCAGCGGGTATTTGCATGTACACTAATACTATCTCCTATACTTTTACTGGCATAAGTGTCTCATTATTGTATCCAACAAACAAAAACGAGCCTTCGAAATGTCCGCGTTTTTCATAGAGACTGTGAGACGAGCTCGTTCGTATTTCATTTCAAAACTTACTGTACAGAGCGCTTGCTCATGTTATCTTCGTGTTTCTCGAGGCGCGTTTTTCATCGCATGATGTCGTTTCTTCACAGCATTATTTATAAGTTGCTTGTTGTTCACATTAAAGTTTTAGTTGAAATTCAGCACTCGTCTTTGTTGGTCTCCTAGTTGTGTACGTGTTCCCTTGCACTGTAATCACTTCAGTTGGAAGTCAGAGTTTGTCTTTTGGCGAATTCCATTGAGAGAACAGGAGTAGAGGGGCAGGGCAGTGAGGAGCGGAGGGCAGAGCCCCGAGAGCAGGGCCACTCAACCTGCCGCTGGAATGCGGTGTGCTTCCGGACAGCAGTTGAAAGGGGTGATGATTGGGGAGACCATATGATGGAAACGTTTCAAGCCCCGGCATATTCTCTGTGCAGTAGCAGCAGAATACGCGTGAATCGCTCAGCCGCATGTTCTTCAGTATCCTAACACATAGCAAGTTTGTGCAACCACTCATTCGGCAGACGTTAAGCTGTCATCTTAGCCATCTGTACAAAAAAGCGGTGTCAAACTACACAGGGTTGCTACCATTGCCGCCGCACTCGCCGGCTGAAGAAAAATTGGGAGACAGTGACGTTTAGAGGTCACGTGACTCGTCATACTGCGCCTACTCCGCTTTTCAGGCGAGAGCACTGCGAACTGCTTCTGGCTGCTCGCAGCGCAGCAAAGGCACCCTCGCTCTACCAATGAATGACAGTGCTCCTGCATGTGTCCGACCACTGAAACACGCCGGCTCTGAAGAGAGCACTTTTAGCATGCTTTTGAGAGCTCCTGCTCTCCCAATGGAATTCGCCATTTGCTCGTCTCCTAGCTAAGTGTACCTGTTTCCTTGCACTGTAATCACTGTTTGAATGCACGATAGAGTTCCTCACCATAATACTTAGAGGAAAATCTAAGGAGTTTGGCCACGATGGGAATGGCGGTGTTCGTGCCTGCGAGGCTTGTGTTAGCTGATGTTGACCGATGCTTCGGCTAAAAAGCAGCTGCGACTGCGCAATGAAAGCTTGCCCAAAATAAAGCCTTTATAAGCGGAACTCTTTCAGGCGTATATATTCTAGAATAAAAAAGTTCACTCACATTTACATCATAACCAAGCGGCGAAAGAAACAGATGACTAACAGTGGAACTGTTAACGCTGGCCTTGTCGTCTGCCTTCTAAGTATAACGGCTGTTTGTTACTTATACGCTCGGTCAAATTTTAGATTGATGCAGAAGTTTCGATTGTTAAATGAAGCTCGTTTCTCTGCAACAATATTAAAAAAGAAACAATGGCTCTTCATACAATATCAATATTTTTTCCGCAAGGAACACGTTGAAGCCAGGTGCGTTCTCGAGGTCTCCAGGATCTTCGTGAACGATGCCGACCTTAGTCAATTCTGAATCTCACATATCACAGCATTCCTCTAGGTATTGTGTATGATGGAAAGGAAGAGCAATGGAAATGAAAACGATAGGTGTAGAGATGGGAAGACAGCAGCGTTGGTTGGGGAGCAAATGGGGTGAACGATACCATATAGTTGAAACCAAAAAGAACAAATGGACATGGGCCGAGACTTAGCGCTTAGACAGGATAACAGCTGGTCATTAGGGGTGACCGAAGGGATTCCAAAAAAAGGCAAACACGCGAGCGGGGAGACAGAAAGCTAGGTGAGCAGATGAGATTAAGAAGTTACAAAGTGTCAACAGCAAAAACATGGGAGAGGCCTTTGCCCTATAGTCAGGCTGATGATGACAATAAATGTTCCCAGGTTGTGGCAGGAACGTGCTGTCCAAGAGCTGGGATGAAGCAAAGCAGCTGATCTATGGCGACAGCTGCCTGGACAGCGTCCTTAGTTCGGTGCGTCGCAACGTGGTCGTCGGCGGCGGCGTGGCGCTGCTGCTTTCCGTAGGGCTGCTGCTCGCAGTGGCCACCACACGGGACTACTCAAACGCATTACGCCGGCAGCCCAAGCTGCAGACGCCGGACGACGGCTTCTATCAGTGAAGAGGGGCTACACACACTGCGTGTTGTTCTTCTGTGATAAGCGTGCCTCGAAGCTTGTGTTTAGCTGATATGGCTGTTTATTATAGCAGAAATAATCAGACGCCGACTGCGGCATAAGGACTAATGGCATTTACATAAAAATCACGGTTCCAGCCGACACTGAACACATATTGGTCACCACTTTTGGGAAAATATTCTATACGCATCTTCACGAAGTGAATCATGGCAAGTGGACAAACCTTTGCGCAGTTAAATGACCTGCACATTCGCGCATGTAAATGAGTGACAACGGATGTGTGCAGTATATACAATGTCATAACTCGTACGTTGTGTTCTGCATTGAGCAAAAGCCTCAAGTTGGCAAAGACCCTTCTCTAGGTACTCAGACGAGGGCGTTCGCTTCATGTGCACGTCTATGGCTGCAACGCCGGGTGAGGAATGCATTGCACCACCTTCCGACGGGACGTTGGCCACTTGACCTTTGATTATCGATACTACCCACTGCTGCGTGATGCCGTAGAGTGATTAATCGCTGCTTCCCGAGCGCTCGCCTCCGGGGTGGTTTGCTGTCTACCTAGACGTTGAGCCGCCGCATGCCTTACTCTCGCCTCCAGAGTAGCAAGCAGCACCTTGACAACATTGCAACTTTGTCGCTGCTTCCCGAGTTCTCACCTCCGGGCTATAGCTTGTTTTCTGCATCGGCATTGCCTGTCGCGGGCGAGAGTGTGCTCACGGTCGTTTTTATCCATGGTAGAAGGAGAATGTGTGGTCAAAAACGTGCTTATTCTTCATAGTCATCACAGGGTCGCTGGATAAAAAACAAGGTGCGGCCATGCTGTGTGCCACAGAAGCGAGGGGACGAGCCTCGTTCACCTCGCGCCCGCTCTGGTGCCACTGCTTCTCCCAGGAGAAACGCGTTCACACGCATCTATACGCAGCACAGTAAGCCGCAAATGACGTGTTTTATACCTGAATATCCCAGGTTCGATTCTGAATTGTTATTAGGAGTACCCATTACACCACATATGTGAACACTTTGTCCTAGGAGGGCCAATCATTCGTAGAGTATAGGCCTCAAATTGTAAAGTGAGATGAATTGGGCTGGTTAATTTTTCATGACATTTATTTGTTGATTTTTCATTAAAAAGAAGTTAGGAAGGAGACTGTCCTCTATTTTCTTTTTGTCCTCCCTAAATTCGGTTTACACAGCAATTTCAGCGCAGCTTTTTCTACCCATTTGACTCACCTGAAATGAAAAGGGTAACATTCCGTTCATGGGGAGGCAATCGAGAGGCAGATTCTAAGGGCTGACGTATCGGACAATCTAAATACACCGCGGAAGCACACGTTGAGCGTGCAGGTAACGTTTGGCAGGGTGATTCGATGCTGCCGTCTAAAGGCGGCAGTGCACGTCAGCTTTAGCACTCGTTTGCGACAAAAAGTAAGTGCTCTGCTTCGAAAAATACACATCACGATATGCTTCTTGAAGCTGTAGACCGCAGGGGAATACATTATGCTTCAATGTAGCATCTTCTTTCACGTTTGAGCTGCTCAGTGGCACACAACAGCTTCGCGACATCACACTACTAAAAAACCATCTGCCACCACGCGCGCACCAAAGATTGGTACTGGATCACAGAAAACATGAGGCAAACTGCCCTCCACACACGATTGCACACAAAGTAAGCACGAGAAAGCACACGAACATGTAGAAATCCTCGCACAACCAGATTGAAAGAGGAAGTGCCATTCGCTTCGACAGGTGGAGCATCAGCGCTCTCCCCAAAAAAGCGGCCAGAACTGTCAACTGCCCAGACGCGCTTGCCCATTGACCCCGACGTTACGCAGCAGGCCGCACCTTGTTTTTTTTTTATCCAGCGGCCGTGACACAGCACAAAGAAAGTGCACATAATTCCTTAGAGATGTGTAGCGTGTATCTCACTGATTATGATCAATTGTGATGCGATTGTGACGAACGCCATGCTAGTGGAGGGCTCCAGAAATTTTGACCATCTCGTGTTCTTGCACTGACATCGCGCAGCTAGTGCTCAGGCCGCCACCATTTCGCTACCATTGAAATGCGACCACCACGGCCGGGATCGAACACGCGACCTTCGAGTTAAGAGCCGAGCAACCTATAGCCACTGTTCGGCGGACGTCACCTAGAATGCATCCTACAAACTTCAGGTTCCATTGTGGTAAATGCCTTGCTTGACATAAGCGTGCGCAGAGTTCTTCTTCCCAGAGGATTGGGAGACTTTGTTGCAGGGGCAAACTTTGTGCCCACGCTCCCTTGTGTTGTTGCTTGGTAAGAAATGAGAGAATACATATATACGACACAGACTTGTGCCGACTTCCAAACGAAATTTATTGCACCTCTCCAGTTTTTTTTAAAATACATGCACGATTATTAACAACTTTGAAGCGCAATAATAAGTGACACACCAAAAACTGCAATTGTTTCTTAGTTATGGTCCTATTTACACATC